CTCTGGTAGGGGCTAGTACCGAAGGTAGCTTCTAACGGGAAGCACCGTGACTTGAACTGCCTGGTCCAGGCATCCACCCCGTGTTCCTGCTGTCCTCCAGGTATGTCAGGTTATCCGTGGCTGCTTCAGAACTGCTGGCCAGGGAGATCGCTGCACCGAGACTGCTGTTTGAGTAGTGTCCTCTGTGCTCATTTTCAGGTGAATGCTAGGAACCTTGGAACTTGAAAGTTGTTACCAGGTGAGTCTTCTGAGGGAGAAGTTCTTGGGTCCGGTGGATTGATGTAGAACGGTCAATAGAAGAGACCTGGCCAATTGTTCATTTCAGTTATCTGTGACTTGACTTCAGCCCTGCAGAACAACGAACTTTCTGCTCCGTCCTATTTTCCTGACCTCGTTTTTTCTAGCTAAGGTTTGGGGATGGTTAGTGGGCACCAATTATCAGAGGGGGCAGCATATCTAAGATGTGTAAACGACCAATGTTCAAAGCAGAGCTACAAGATTCTTGGATGTCAAATCTCGGAACGGGGCGAAGCAATCAATGTTCCTTAAACCTAGAGCAATAGAGGTAGAATATGGAAGTTCTCAGAAATGGGGTGACCATGAAAGGTGGCAGTGAATATGGGGAAGAACAGGAGGGTTAGGTTCAAAGACCTAGGTTTGATGCTGGTTGTGAAACTCTAGTAGTGGTTTTTCACCTCTGTNTACAAGATTCTTGGATGTCAAATCTCGGAACGGGGCGAAGCAATCAATGTTCCTTAAACCTGGAGCAATAGAGGTAGAATATGGAAGTTCTCAGAAATGGGGTGACCATGAAAGGTGGCAGTGAATATGGGGAAGAACAGGAGGGTTGGGTTCAAAGACCTAGGTTTGATGCTGGTTGTGAAACTCTAGTAGTGGTTTTTCACCTCTGTGAACTCCAGAGTCAACACCTGTAAAAGGTGATGGTAGTTATCCTCACTGTTAGGATTAAACGGAATAAAGAATGTTGGAGGTATCTTTGTGGCAGTGGAGGTGGGAAGAAGCCAGGATACACATCCCTTGTGCTTGGTTTTAGTTGTGCCAGCTAGTCTACTTTTTTCTCACCACCTCTGGGTCTTTCCTTTTCTACTCGCATTAATTACCATCGGAAACAGTGGTTACTCCTATCTGAGATCTCAGCAAGATTTTCCTATGCCCAAGAATAGGACATTTTCCCAGGATTTTGTGTGGGGGAAAAAAGTGTGGGTGGGTATGAGTTATTAGATAATCTTTTCAGAATATGGAACCTAGATACATAAAGATAGGAAAACAAGTATTAGAGCCTTCGGTGGAATCTGAAGAGATCTTGGTAGAAAGTGGAAGAAGTAGAAAAGTTTTGAATTCTTGCCTTGAAATTCTTCAAGGTTCTTGCCTTGGCTGAAAATGGCTTGAGATTCCATGAAAAATTTTAAATCTGAGTGTTGAGATAATCCCATCACCCAATCCTCCTGTACCTCTTTGCATTCAGTTACTACATTCTTACCACTCATCTAATTTGCGGACATTGGAAACATCATTGGAGACCTTTTCTGAAAGCTAAATTTGGAGACATTATAACAACCTGAAACTACAGGGTTGGAAGAGATCTTGGTGAATTCTTGGAAGGTTTCCAGTATAATTTTCTCAAGATGAAGATCTTGGTGAATTCTTGGAAGGTTTCCAGTATAATTTTCTCAAGATGATATACTTTTCATTGGCTCTGTTACTTCTAAACAGCCCCTGCTGTTAGATTTGCAGGACACTTTGATTTTTTTCTGTAAGTGAATGCATGTTGTTGAGAAGTCTGAAAGTTAGATCAAAGACAGCACCGTACCAGAGAAAATGGAACTCTTCCCTAATCACTGGTGGAGGGTGAGGGTGGATAAGGAGGA